ATGGTCCATCGGCGGAACGAGCCGTCTTTGACGTCGATGGGCGTGTCGGCCAATGCTTCAATGCTAAAGGACGCTGCCAACTGGGTGTGCTCTGCGAGCACTTCAGCGGATGGAGGTTGCAGGGGGAGGTACAATGGCACGAGGTGCGTCAAAGTGGCGGCAAAGTCGCGCACGTGCTGAAAGTCGTTGTCGTTTTTGATGGATTGCAGAATGAACTTGCCCAAGATGGGGATTCGGGTCACTTTGGCAAAGAGGGAGAGCGCCAGACCAGTCAGTCGAGGAGCTTGGATGGCCTTGAGGTCCATGACAGGAGAGGATTGCTCAGTCTTGGACGGTGCCAAGGCCTTGTAGACCAAGGGAAGAGTCGCCACGGTGGTGATGATCAGGACCAGCGCAAGCGTGGGGACCTCAAAGTCACTTGGCGTCGCCATTCCGTTGTTGTCGTGTTGTCTTGACGTGCGATCTTTGCCAATCCAATTGATGAACCTATGTGAGGAAATTTCCCAATCTTCGGAAGGGAATTCTGCCCTGTCATTCTTTCTCCAGGAAGCAGGATTTCCAATTCACAAAATTCTGTAACATTGACGTTAACGTTAATGGGATTTGGCATTCTTATTGTTCGCTAACGTAAGATACCGTTAGTCGTGAGAAGTTAAGTACTAGTATTCGCAACCTCAAAGAAACCTTAACGGTACCTGCACAACCTTGAAATCGCCCGCCAGTCATACTTAGCTTGTGATCAACCAACGATGACAGACCAACCAAGAGCAAACCTTGGGGCCACGGACAATCATAGTAGCATCTCGAACCTCAACGTCATGGATCTTGTACCCATTCAAGCACCACGGCTGACAGGCACGCCTCTCAAAGTCTTTTCAAAATTGACTCGATTTCCTGGTCTTGGTAATACGGTCCTGAAGAAAATCAAGAAAGACAACAACTTCCAACACGTCCGCGAGTTTGCCTCAACCCTTGGTGACGTCATGCCCGTTTACGTACCCCTGCAACCTCCATCCGCTGAAGTGCTGGCAGAGCACACCCAGTTGGCAGCGTCCTTTAGCATTGAAGCATTGGCCGACACGCCCATCGACGTCAAAGACGGCTCGTTCCGCCGATGGACCAT